ACATTATAAAAACAAATTACTATAATTTTATATTTCATTATTTGTTGTGGAAAAGGTTTATTTGAGGACTAAGGTTGTGTAATTTATATAAGTATATATATATATATAATCTGTTTTATTATACATTTAATAAATAATTATAACCTTTTTTTATGCTTTGAGTTGGCAAACTAATGTGATTCTAATAAATAAATATACTCTTATGAAGAATACAATTTTTTTATTGTGACTAATATTATAATCAATTACTATACCGTATAGTTGCAATTGGGTATGCTTGGACTTCACATAAAAGAGCTATGTTAGAATATTGTACTCGTTCAAAAGAATGAATTTTATCATCACTTGCAAATGTGGGTTTTTTAACACCAACAGGTTCTGGAATTGTTTGGATACTCATTTAATAATAATTTTAAGCCCAACTAAACGAACCTGTATGCGGGTATAGGGTACGCTTGTAGTTGACACCACAACGACACGTCTTCATTCACATATCTAAATGCAAAACGACTTTTTTCATCCAAAGCTAATGATGGAGGTTTGGCACCCAAAGGTTCTGTATTATACAGTTTAAAAATAGATTTAAATTAATCTAGTATAATTAAATCTGTCTTAAATTAACTAGTAAATTGATATTATATTATTATWATATATTATTAATGTATTTTGTTACACCTCATCTAACTTTAGTCAAAGCCTAAAATATATCTATATTTTTTTTGCATTGGTACTTTAAAAAAAAAAATTGCTATACATTAAAAAAATAAATATTTTTTAAATACTACCGACCTGAAAGACGGTATAGGAAAAGCCTGAGTCTGGCAAAAAAGTGTTATATATTGCCCTGAATGGCGTATGATTGTTCTGCTTTTATCATCTGGTGCAGTAGGGGCTTTAACACCAACAGTGTCTAAAGAGGAGTTATTTTATCAGATCAAAACATAWTTCCTAAAAATAATGTTATTCCACAATGTTAAAAATTATATATTAGCTCAATGATAAGCCTATGTATATTTATGATTTTGCCTTACTAAGATAAAGGAACCGGAAAATTTTAGGTTAGAAATAATGTACCAATCCCTTTATTAATTTGTTGTTCTATCCAACTAAATTTTATATCAGATGACAGTGGAAAAGTTTTATACCAACCAAATATATGGAAAATAAGGATAACTTTAATGAAAAGCACTACCTATCAATATTATATTATTTCAAACCTGAATGATGGGATAGGATATCCTTGTGCATCACACAATAGATCCAAGTCAGCAAAAGACTTCATTTTAAATTTATATGTTTCTGATTTGGCGGAAAACGCGGGAGATTTTAAGCCAACAGGCTCTAAAAGGTACAACATAAAAATACATTTTTTAAATATTGAATAATGGTCTCACCTGAATTCTGGGACAGGATATCCCTGAGATTGACACAGTAAAACAATAGCATTCTTAGAACTTTTCTTTAAGCGAGTACCTTCAAACTCTGAAGATAGAGTAGGAGATTTAAATCCTATGGGTTCTGGATACAAATTTAAAAAAAAATACTTGAATGATTATTTATATAAATCAAGTTAAAATCTGAATGTTGGAAGCAAGGTAAGTTGTTTTTTATTTGAAAACAAATAGATTCATAATTTAATTTATAAGCATTTTAAGGATAAAATAATCCAAGTTAAAAATAATTGAATACAAAAATAATWATGTAATAATACATTTTATTTATTATATTCTAATAGACAAAAAATATAGTTCCTAAGAAATGAAAAAGAAAAAAAAATGTATAATAGGTATACTACCTATGTATAATTAGATAACTATAATTTTTACCAATAACTCAATCATAATCCTATATAGTATATTAGTATATAATATAACACCTAAAAGTGATAATTAATTTGCCTTRTTTAAAAAATAAAAATACAAACATTTTTTTAACAAAATATGTTTTTATTTTATTTCCTTATACATGTGATGTCTAAATATTTAATTCTAGGATACTTTAACTGTCATAAAAATATTATCCTTTACATTTGTTTTATAATTTTGACTGCTATAATAATTTTATTTTAACAATAACTTTATAGACATAGAAAAGGGGTGAAGGGTAGTYAAGGGGGCTATAGCCCCCCAGAATTCTGTCAATTTGTGAGAACAGAAACATTTTTTTATTTAAAAAAAAGTCTATAGCCCTCTATATAAATTTATCACAGTATGCCAATGAATAACCTCTAGTTTAAAATTCAAAATTATAAGATTTAAATGTAGTTCTCACCTAAAATCGGGTACGGGATATCCTTGTGATTGACACAATAAAACAATTGGTCCTTTAACTCGTTTTTTTAACCCTGTACTAGAAAAATCTGAAGATAATGTAGGTGCTTTATAACCAACAGGTTCTGAAAATTCAGTAGGTAGGTTATGTTAATTTTGTATCTTTAAAGAAATTAAATATTATTTTCTTTGAGCCCAAATGTCAGYGATAGATTTACCCATGCAACTATAATGTAGTCCATTAAAAAATAAACCTTTCAACACACTACATAGAAATAAATCTATAGCATTCTCTCACCTATGATCAGGAACTGGATACCCCTGTGATTCACACAACAATACAATATCAGATTTAGACCTACGATTAAATATAGTTCCTTTTGAATCAGATGAAAAAGCAGGTGATTTTATGCCAACCGGATCTAAAAATGATTGGATAAACAAAATTTACAATGGAAATACAAGTGAGAACAAACAGTTTATCTTCAGCCAAAATGTGAGAATAAAGTAAGTCCACATTTTGTGATTAGAACATTTAAAAAATAGAAATGTTTTAAAATATTTAATTTGGGTTAAAACAATTAAAATATTTTCATTATATGTATTAACATTGTGGAATAACCTTACCTGAAACTTGGGGCAGGGTACCCTTGTGCTGAACATAATACTGATAAATCATTATTAGACCGTTTTCTATACCTTGCACTTTCTGCATCAGATGAAAATACTGGGGACTTTAGACCTACTGGTTCTATAAATTATACCAACATTTTTATTATATATACCTAACTGTACCTGAATGAAGGGATAGGATAGCCTTGAGCTTCACAGAGTAAACTTATACTGAATAAACTTTTTTTCTTGAATCTGGATGTTTCATCCTCAGATGGAAATGTAGGTGCTTTAAGACTATAAGGTTCTGGAAGAGATAAATTCAATTTCGAAACTGTCTAGATTTTTCATTTTTATTATTATTCATTATTTAAACTATAAATTATTAAATGATAATTTTAGTATACTATAATTTATATATTATATTCTATATTTCTCTAAAATTATATTAAGACGTTGAAATTTCTAAATTTTGTTACCTGTAATCTGGGACTGGGTACCCTTGTGCCGAACAAAGTAAAGAAAGATGTTTCAATACACTTTTAACAAACCAACTAGACTTTGAAGAAGATGGAAATGTAGGAGACTTGAATCCTACAGGTTCTGTTTATGCCAAAATATATAAAGAGTAAGTGGATAAAATATGTTACCTGAATGTTGGTACACCATATCCCTGTGCCAAACATAATAAACTAATACTTTGATCCATTTTTTTTATGTAAGTAACAGATTTAGCTTCTGATGGAAAACTTGGAGCTTTTAAGCCAATAGGTTCTATAATAGAAACCAAGAAATGTCATTATACYAGTATTAATAATGTTTGAAATGAAACAAATTACAAAATTGTTCAAACAGGGGTCTCTGTTAATCGTATTAAAGCTTAAGACTAATGCACTTTATAAATCAAATATTATAAATTATTTCAARTTTCAAGTTTCATACCTATATGCGGGAACTGGATAGCCTTGGGCGGGACACAACATGTCTACAGTTAGAAATAACCTTGATTTGAAAGATTCTGCCATCATAGGAAATTTAGGTGCAGTCGAACTTACTGGTTCTAGTGTATTTTTAAAAGAAAAATGTAATTTAGATCATTACAATGTCCTACCCACCTTGAAATTGGTACAGGGTACCCTTGTGAAGGACAGAGCATATCAAATGAACTAAAACGTTGAATCTTAAATCCTTGAATATTTGTTGTTGACGAGAATTTTGGAGCAATACTAGTAATGGGATCTAAAATAAAATATGTAAGACTATGGGTATATAATACATAGAGCGGAAATTATTGTAAAAATACATTGAAAGTTTGATATATAATATTCATAATTTAATTTTAATTATATTTAACTTGATTGCTTATCGTTTATACCAATATATTTTAATGCATTTATTCTATTAAAATTCTAGTCCTTACCTGTATGTTGGTACTGGATGACTTTGAGCAGAACAAGTTAACACAAGACTTTGTTCAGATCTGAACTGATAACTTTTACCAGTTTCCAAAGAAGCAAATTTTGGAGATGAACTACCAACGGGGTCTAAGAAGTGATTAAGTAAGTATTTTCTAATGTCAGGATAATAGAAAAATGAAATAACATAACTTGTATCATTGATTTATTTGATTTAATACTTTGCACAGCTTTAATGTGTCGCAGGGGTACCCTATCCCAACATTCAGGCTTCATTTTCAAACACATATTTTTCAGTGGTAAGCAAATTTATTTACATTTTGWTGAAATAAAATATTTCATATTTTTTTGTATGCAATAAAAATATTATTATGTTAAATAAATAAATAAATTGACTTAAAAAAGGATAAACTAAATAATATGTGTTTGAATACATTATTAATTTAAAAATATAATAATAAAAAAGTAATTTTTTACTTAGACCATTAATGCATTTAACATTGAAAATTAAAAATATGTTAACACATTTTTGACTTTAATAAAATTGTATTTACATAAAAAAATTAAAATAAATGCAACAATGATCTTAATATTATACATGATTTATTTCACCAAATAGCTAAATTAAAATTCTTAAAAAAAACCAAATATTATAAAATAGTTTATAAGTAGGTACTTGGATTAATTTGAAATTAAAAATGCTATTTGTTATTATTACTTTTAATTTTCAAAATTAAGAAAGAATAATAATTTAGCTATTGGGATTCCACTAAGAAAAATATATTGGTAAATTGTATTGAAAAAATCTTAAAAGATGTTAAAAAAATTAGAAACACTAGAATTGTATGTGTTATGTGTAAAAATATTTACCAAAAGTTGTCAGTTAAATGTATAATTCATTAAATTTGTTTGAAGACTGCATATAATGTATTTAGTATAAATATTAATAAAAATATTTAWTATGAAACATAAAAAAAAYWAAAAAAATTTAATCACACCCAAAATATTTGGTTTATGTTTAGAAAATTATGATCATCAAATAGCTTTTTGACATAAAATATTTAACTATATTATATTTTACCAATATACTTTTTAGTGAATAAGTAGATATCTAATTAAATAATATTTTACTAACCTGTAATAACTAATCTTCCTTTAGTAGCACTAAGCCTTGTTTCTCCAGTTAATCTATGTTTAGTTCGGCATTGATAAGACTTAGTCCCATCTTCTGGTGTGACATCACGAATATGTAATTCACCAGAAGGCAAAACCAAATATTTACCATCTTGAATATTAAAAATAAAATAAAATTAGAATTGATTTGTAGACATTTATTTTGCAGAAGCTTAGTGAAAATTTAAGAGATTTCAAACAATTAAATAAATATAAAACAATAAAAATAGATATAAATTGTTAAGGCAAATTACTTTTAACTGTTATCAATATTTTATTTTGTTTAAATTAGTAATAATTTATAGTAATGAAATCTCTCATAATCGATGCCAAATAAAAATATATGATATTAAGAAAGTGCAACAGTAACAATTTTCACTATACATGAAATTTTAAAAAGATCAATATAAAAACTTATTTAAATTAAATTAAAATTAGAGATTATTGTATGAAAATTATAGCAGTTTGTCTCCTATAAATGTACTCCACTTRTTTTATCATTATTGAGTTAACACAATTCACAGCAGAAAAAAAACATTTAGAACATAACCATATAGTTATAAAACAAAATACCAATACTAGATAAATATATACTTCCAATATTAGAAGCATTACATTTTTTTAAATAAATATAATGAGAAAAAAAATATGAGTTTTCAAAAATGTATGTCCGCAACAAACATGAAACTGTTATAGCATAAAATAAATTTTCATATACCTCAAGTAATTTGGTTTTCATGGAATTTGTGTAGTTAGTGAAATATGATACATGTAGCACAATCTTAATATTGATAACAGTGTATAAAGTTTACAGATTCATTATATTGTATGTATAAAGTTAAATATAATTTTGCATCGATTATTCTCATTAAAAAGCAAAAGCGATGAACAACTGAACAATAATTGAACCTTTATATTGATATACTGTTTAGATAGTTAAAAATCAAAATAAAAAAATATATTAATTAATTAAACCATACCAAAATGTAAAATTATTATGTTTAGGTATAAGTCTATTAAATATAAAGTATCAAATTGTTCAGTGTTAACTAACTACGTAACACATTCATTCATCACATTCATCCAGGATTCAGAGGAACATAAAGAAATACGATGAAAATATTGGGATACAAAAAAAGGAAAACCGCAACGTACCCTTGCCTATTTAATATTGGAAAAACCAGAATCTTATGAAAATATTTGAACCTAATAATAAAACTATAAACAGTTAAGAATATTTTTTTAATTTCAATACCGTAAGCATGATTTGCATTAATTGAATACTCATCACCACTGTCTGAAGTCCAACTAGACACAAATACATAATCGGCAACAAAACTAGGGATATGACATTTCAATATAGCAGTATTTCCACGAAGAACAGATTCATCCATTACATTAACAGTGTAAAGTTGATTGACCACTAAAAAAAGATAATAAATCGGAATAAACAGTCAGAAAATGTTTGAAAAATATAAAGATATGTATTAGAAATCAATGTATGGTAAACAATAACAGAGAAAAGTATACCAATAGTTGGTAGGTACTGTAGGTATACTACATTTTTGTGAAATTTTCAACGATGAAATTAAATATTATGAATGCAGGACGAGAACAAAAAGGAAAATTATTTTATAAAGTCTACAATAATAGACATTAATACCAAAGATTTTATCGGATGACACAAAATATTTGTTTCCAATAGTATCTTCCCAAGAAACAACAGAAACATAATCAGCAACAAATGATGGAACAATACACTTAAAAACTGCAGTATTACCCTTGATGACAAACATATCATACAAAATTGCTTCATAATATTGATTTACAGCTGAAATAAATCAATTTAATATTACGTTTTCTACATCAAAGTAGGGATACATAATGGAAATATTGTTATTAAATAGGTATTTACAGATAAAAATATAATATAAATAACTATATACGTGATTCAATTGAAGCTTGAAGCGACTAAAATTATATGAAACAGACAGCAAACTTTTTAAAATATGATTATTAAAAATTTTATTTTAAACAAATTATATTGTATAAATACTCGTATAATGAAATGTCTTGATTAGAAAACAAATATATCATAATAAAATTTGTATAGAAACACATTGTGGCAATAATATTTAGACAGGAAATATAAATGCATTCAATACAAACATCATAGAAAAAGTATACCAATAATTATAATTCATCATGATATCAAACATAACTACCATGATCTGCATTTGGAGTAAAATAAGTTTCACCGTTAGAAGCTTCCCATGAATCAACATTAACATAGTCAGACACAAATGAGGGTACAGAACATTTAAAAATAGCTGTATTTCCTCTTATTACGAACATATCATAAACTTGAGCTTCATAATACTGACTTACAACTGAAAAATGTGTATAGATTTATGTTATGTAAGTATAATATACATGTTGAACTTTTATGGTTTTGAGAAAACTCATTCATTGGTTCAGGATAGTAGATGGAAAATAATTTTTTTTTTTAAATTTAAACCATACATTCCAAAATTTAACAATCATTGTTAAGACAAACCCTTATATAGTTGATTAATAATGTACGATTCTCCAGACTCAGACACCCATTCTATAATTTCAAGAAAATCTCCAACAAAACTTGGTACTATACATTTTAATATTGCTGTATTTCCTTTGAGTACAAACTCGTCATTAACCCGAAGTTGATATGATTGTTCCACAACTAAATTCATATTTAATTAATAGTAAATATTTTGTTTCTATCAATTTAAAAGTTAAGCTATACAATTATTATTTTGTACTGATATCGATATAATAAATTGGATGGGAACTATAATATTTAAATTCAAAATCATTCATATTTCAATCATACAAAAAACATCGAGTATTCGAATTTAAAAAGGTATTGTACCCTGTTTATCGACATTTGATCCGATATTGTTTCCACTATCATCCACCCATCCTAACACATGAATAAAATCTGCTACAAAACTCGGAACGAGGCATTTTAAGACAACGGAATTTCCTAACAGCACGTATTCGTCAATAACTCTAGTTTGATAGAGCTGATTTACCACTGTATAAATATGGAAAAAAATATAAATATATAAATAGGCATACACGAACAAAATAATATAGATGGGTTTATAGTTTTTTAGCACATTATTTACAAAAATATTATAAAATAAAGAATAACGATTATTCATACTTAATCAAAATTATTGAAATAAATTCAAGATAGGATAGAAATATATACATAACAGGCGTAATTACAAACAATTTATTTAGCCAGACATCCTTTCATATTATTATGTCTTAAAGGTACCATAATCATGATTATCCTGGTAATACGATTTTCCAGTGGAGTCAACCCAATGAGTGACCGAAACAAAATCGGCAACAAAACTTGGTATTTCGCATTTCATAATGACACTATTACCTCTGATGACGTACTCGTTATCAGCCTCGACTTCATATGACTGATGAACAACTGACAAAAATATAATATACGTCAGTAATTAACACAAGCATTATTAGCAAACATACGACAATTCGATTTTAAAATTTTTAGAGAAAATAAAAATAAAGGCTTTGACTACGAATAGTACGAATAATTATTCCAACAAATATTGCATATTATGCATGGAAGTTAATCAGGATATAGACAAACGTTCGGAATATKAATCTCTATCATATTGTAACAGGCTCTTACAATTATTATTATTCGCAKTGTATAACGTGAGAGCAGTAAAAGTAGTATCATTGTCTGCTATCCAAGCATCCACTGAGACAAAATCGGCAACAAAACTTGGGATTTTACATTTAACTATCGCGGTGTTACCACGTATTACATACTCATTTTCAGCTTCAGTGACATAATGTTGGATTACCACTGTAAAATACTCAACACTTAAGCAAGATAAGCAAAAAGTAATTGTGTTTACTATACGAGGTACAAGGATAATAAAATCTGAAATATTTTGGATCATAAATAAGGAAAACTATTATACAGACATTTAAAAAGTATAATCTCTTTCTAAGATTTTTCATCTAGATATTTGTTTACTTTCAGTTGAATCTCTAGTAAACGTTTGACCTTCACTCGTTACCCAAGATTCGACAGTAATAAAATCGGCTACAAACGACGGTACACTACATTTAAGTATAGCCGAGTTTCCTCGTATTACATATTCTGTAGGCATCAATTCGGACTCATAGTTCTGATTCACAACTATTTTTGAAAACAATGAAACATAAATATAAAAATAATGACAAATGTGTACCCAAATATAAAGCCGACGGATTCCAACATATAAAGGAGTTTTTAGTAAACATTAGAACGCAATACACTCATAAAATACTATGTTTAAATTACAATAAGTACCATATCTATCATTTAAATGGCGGTATTCTTGACCATCAGAAGATATCCAAGATTCAATTAAAACGAAATCTGTTACAAAACTAGGCACTTTGCATTTAATAACTGCAGTGTTACCAAGTATTACATATTCATCTTCAGCTCCAGTAATATAATTTTGCAATACAACTATAAAAATATAACGCTTTATATATGAAAAATTATATTTCCAATAAATGCGAAATAAAAATAATCCTGGAAATAATCAATATTATTTGATTGATTTTTTCGATAAGWATAAATTATAACGATACCTAAATAACGTTCGACGTAATTACATAAATATAATTTTCCTTCTTTTTATACTCACAAAAAACAAGTCTAAACTATAGACTATAACCATTTAAAAATTCCACTATTTAATGGGCAAAATTTTTCTTGTTTATAATTCTTTGAAAAAAAAAAAAAAATTTAAAAATAATAAATAATACCAAATTATTATGGTTTAAAATGTAAACTCATCAAAATAAAAATAAACAATTGAAGACATTTCTTAAGCTTATAGATGTTGGGTTTGAGGAATTGATGGAGTTAAATATATGTATAAAGTCGTTTGGGAATCGTCTATCAAACCCTACCTACCATAATTGTCATTTAAATTATGATATTCTTGRCCATCAGAGGATATCCAAGAATTTACAACAACGAAATCCGCTACAAACGAAGGAATAGTGCATTTCAATATAGCTGTATTACCACGTATTACATACTCCGTTACCACTTCTGAAGCATACATCTGGTTAACAACTTAAGAAAAAATAAATCCATTACATGCAAAGAAATTAGTTCAAAAGAATAAATTAATAAAATTACATGGAAATACAATAAACGGTTTAATATTTTACTTTATTCTATGATGTTCGTAAATATAATAAAACTTCAAAATGCTCAATAACTAAACCAATATTACTTACTCCAGAAAAAGCATTTAAATGTTTATCACAAAGGTACGTTTATAGTCTATACAAGGACATAATTAGAAAATTAATTTATGTGACTTATAAAATTCATCAAAATCTTTCTAATAAATATACCTTGAGTATATTCATGATGAAATATATACTCGTTTTCTGTATTATCGTTCCACGATAAAACTGTCACAAAATCGGCTACAAATGATGGTATACWGCACTTTATAACAGCTGAATTACCCCTGATCACATGTTCATTATTTACCTCTACCACATAATTTTGCGTGACCACTGATCGTAAAAAAAAAGATATCAGACAATAGTATAATAATATCCACATTTAGATTTTAATCGAAGTGCCAACTTGGATGGTAAAATATTAAGAGATTAAAAAGTTGCGTGAAAATTATTAACGAGGGAATTTGTATAAAGTGTTTGTTCAGTATACTATGTAAAATAAAGAACGACAATCTGGAGTATGATAGGGAGTGGAAGATTTAGTAGCAATACAATAATTTAGATTGTATGATACATATTCTTTTCATACACACATATGGTCTAATTTGCAAATACCACGGGTATAATGGGTTGACATAGAGGGGAACACATTTCCGGCATCGTCTTGCCATGATATAACAGACACAAAATCGGCAATGAAAGGCGGTATACCACATTTTAATACTACGGAATTGCCTCTAATGACATACTCCAAGCTGACATCACTTCTGTATGATTCTTGTACCACTAAAATGATTATTATTTATTTTATAAACTAGCAATACTGCAATAGTAAATAATATAATATCATTCACTAAATAGTTATTAAAATCTCTATAATTTATAAATTATTAGTGTGTTTGATAACTTGAAAAATACAAACAATTTTAAGTAGAACAAATGTTTAGGATTTTTAAAAGGATTACAGATTTTGACTCAAACAAACAATCGTATAAATTTAAAACTTTTTGTAGATACCATAATCGATAGCTCCATTTTCATTGATGTTATAGTAATTATTACCAGCATCATCGATCCAAGAAATAACACTAACAAAATCTGCTACAAAAGGCGGAATACTGCATTTGAATAATAATGAGTTTCCCCTGATCGCATATTCTGGGCTAACATCACTTCTATACGGTTCTCCGATAACTAAGATCATTAATTTTATTATAACAAACCATTAGTGGATAGAAAAGAAATTCGTCACACTTAAAATACTAGGATGTAAGTTTCGATAATCGTTCAATTCACAACAAAACCATCAAATTAAATACCATGATTGTTTAATGAGTTTACGAGTTTTTCTTCTATTAATAATAGTTCGTATACATTCCCACTATTATCCTGCCAAGATACAACAGYGACAAAATCTGCGATAAATGGCGGTATGCTACATTTTAATACAACCGAGTTACCCCGTATAACGTATTCATTATTCACTTCACTTCTGTACGGTTCTTCTATTACTAAATAGACAATATAATATGAAGAAGTTACAAACTAAGAGAATATTATTTTAATAGGATTTCATAAAAAATGCGTTAGGAAACTTTTTATATCATACTAGATACTATTATAAAGTTATATGACCATAAAATACCATAATCTATTCCAGGGTAAAAATTGTCACCCTTATCAGTACTCCATGATAATACAATAACAAAATCGGCAACAAATGATGGAATACCACATTTCATTACAACCGAATTGCCTTTTATCACTGGTTCTTTATTCACGTCAACTTCATAATATTGACTTACAGCTATTCCAAAATAAATAATTAAAACACTGTAGTAAGTGCATCTACTATACAAAAAAACATAATTGAACTCGGGTTTATTATTGGGTGTAATTGTATGAAAGGTTAGATAGGAAACACTGGCAATGTCAATTATATAACCAATTTTAGTTAGATTTAAATCCATTAGATGCATGCCACCAAATATAATACCATAATCATCGCCTGGATAATATACATTGCCATTATCAGTATGCCATGATAAAACAGTTAAGAAGTCTGCGACATATGACGGAGTTTCACATTTCATAATCACAGAATTTCCACGAATTGCGTAAGCTTTATTTACATCAGTGTCATAAAACTGTGTAACAACTATATAAAAAACAGTAAATATATCAGAGTAGGTAGGTATCTAATATAATATATTTTTTAAATATTGAKGGGTGAACAATTTTAAACGTGTTTGGACAGTGTAAAAATATGARTRGCCATTCATATTTATTAATCTGGATACTTGACATATATAATATGAACTATGAAGTACTTATGTCGCTGTAACGCTGGAAATTATTCCTCTCAGATTTAGAACATCGCGAACACACATTAAAAGTAACTTTAAATAGACTGAAAATTCGTAAAATGTAATCAATATTTGGACATGAATGTAGGAAAAACACATTCGAACTTATAACACGCTAATCTTCCCACCATAATCAGATCCTAGAATATATTCTGAATCTTCGGTTATCCATGATATAACATGTACGAAATCAGATACATACGAAGGTACTTGACATTTCATTACAGCTGAGTTGCCTTTAATAGCAAATTCTTTAATTACATCGATTTCATAATTCTGTGCGACAACTAACAAAATACGATATAACTATAATAATAGTACATTAAGTATATTTAAAAATCAATAGTTAGGTATCTATATCATTAGCTGTAAATAAAAAGTAATATTAATGTTAACAGGATATAATATATTATTAATATTATCAAATATAAAGATTAAATAGATACATATTATATTATGAATAAAATAATTTTTTTGGTTTTATTAGTATTCTATTTCTATTCACATATGTTTTTTATAACAAAATTGAAACCCATGTTACATATAATGTAACAAATATAATAYTTATAAATATGAATATTTAAGTCTCTGTCTCTTTATATAAGATTTATTTCGAGTATAGTAAAAGACAAAACTAGCTAAGCGACATAATAGAATATCTCTTGAAACATCGTTATCATTTGAYGAGTCACATAATTTACCATTCAACGCTTCAGACCCCCCGCTTGCAAAAAAATATCAATTTGAAATTGAGTCGTGGACACAAATCGGCTTTAAAAATTGAATTTT